TCTCGGAATTTTTCCCCGCTTCGAGAACAGACACGAGGGCTCTGGAGCATCTCTCTTACAAGGAGAAACTGAGGGAGCTGGGCCTTTTTAGTCTGGAGGAAACTTAGAGGGGATCTCATCAGTGCATTTAAGTATCTCCGAGGCGGGTGCCAAGAGGACGGTGCCAGGCTCTTCCCGGTGGCGCCCTGCGACAGGACGAGGAGCAGTGGCCATAAACTAAAACACAAGAAGTTCCACCTCAACATAAAAAAGAACTTCTTTATGCTGAGGGTGGTAGAGCACTCGAACAGGCTGCCCAAGGAGGTCACGGAGTCTCCGAGCTCTCCGGAGATACTGCAAGCCCGCCCGGGCGCTTCCCTGCGCCACCTCCTCTAGGTGACCCTGCCTTGGCAGGGATCTCCGACGATGCCTTCCAAGCCGGGAGCGCCCCGGGTGTCCCGGGAAGCGGCGCGGGGACACCTGTTGGCGCCGCCACCGCCGTCACGCGGAGCTCAGCCGGGCGCGCGCGTCACGGGACCGGGCGCGCGTGCCGCCGCCGCAGCCGTCACCTGCCCGCGCCCCGCGGGGGACACGAGGGGGGGGGGCAGGGGGGGAGCCCCGGAGAAAGCGGGAAATGCAGGGTCCCTCCCCGAAGCGGCTCCCCGGTGAACGGTGGGGGAAAAAGGGGGTGAAAGCAAACAGTCCCAGCCGGCGCGTCCCGCCGCTGCTCTGCCTGGGAACCGCCGCTTAAGCTCAGTCCTGGCGGGGCACCGCCGCGCACGGCGCGGCAAAAGGGCAGCGTGTGGGTTTCGCCGGGTAGGTGGGGAAGCGGCGGCGGCGGCTCCGCCGGCGGAGTTTAAAAGGAGAAAAAAAGATAAACCCGAAAGCAGCGCGTGAGCAGAAATGAGAGATTAACGGAGCTTAATGGAGCGTGCTGGGGCCGCACGGACCCTGCAGGTAACGCGGAGCCCTCGAGAAAAGTTCGTAACGCGGCGAAGCAATTAAAGAACCAACCGGACAGCTAAAAAGGAACGGATCGTGAAATGTCACAATTTTTAATAAAAACCTATTTATGATAGTGTTTCAGGTTCTTGGCATTATTAAATACCATGCTAGGAACAGGTATAATGAATGATAGCTCGATGGTGTTACTTGTCTGTTGAAAACACAATACTGTGGCTTAAATTAAGAACAGCAGCATGGAAAATAAAGGGAATTGCCTAAACTCTTAAGGGTAGAAATAATGAAAATTTAGCTTTTGCTACTTCATCAGCAACAAAAAACAATAAAGCAGGGAAATATAATATGAAAATATATCTAATTTAGAACAGATGGCAGGAAGCTTTTTTTTGCCCCTTGCACGGAACCACAACTGCGCAGAACGATCAGTGGGGAATTTTGGTAGGGTGAAAACACCAGAGTTATTCTACCACTCAGCACATGAAAGATTTGGTGAAGGAAAGAGAAAATTGGAATGAAATTTATTTTTTAAATTGCCCAGAACTTCTAAATAGTTTCTCTTGCCAATTTTAACTGAAACATGACAAAGCTTTTGCCTCATCATCCCCAACAAATTTATTATAAAAATACAAAACATGTTCTAGTAAAAAATATGAGACTGTTCAAACGTTAATTCTCTTGTTGTGTGATGTTCCATTCCCTTCACGTAAGGCAGAGAATTGAGACTGGTCAAAACTATACAGGATGATGCTGACTTTAAGTAGTCTTTGCAAAGACCTTTGCTGGTCTTCTCAGTCAGAATCACGGGAATTAAAGAGAATCTATTACAACTTTGCTCCTTTGAAAACAGGGAGGTCCTTTTACTAGAGAAACACATGGAATCGTAAAACCATAGAGTGGTTGGGGTTGAAAGGGATCTTAAAGATTATCCAGTTCCAACCCCCTTGCCATGGGCAGGGACACCTTCCACTAGACCAGGTTGCTCAGAGCCCCTCCAAGCTGGCTTTGGACACTGCCAGCGTTGGGATATCTGTGCAGCGGTGAGCAACTCCACTGATTTTCAGTTCCACTGCAATGCTTCCTGTTTGCCTTTGCGAAGCTCAAGCACTCAGAGGATAACTTCAGCAGGCAGAAGAGGAGGCATGGAATTTCTCCTCTCTGCCTTCTCCCCTTCATCTCCATCATTGAGACGCATATCCTTTCTGTAATTTTGGATCTCTACTCTAGGTGCCCCAGAAGCAGTGATGGTTGTTTTCTAAAACTATGTTTAGATGGGTTTGACTGTCACTTCTTGGTATTTCAAATTTTTTGCTATTTGAACCACATCGCAATCTCCACCATAAGTTTTTATGTAGCTTGCAATTATAACATGAGACTGTCAAGTTCCTTGCCTCCTTGAAATGGGAGGGAACAGTCAATTTTCAAGACTGACTTCCCAAGACAATTGCAAGCTCAAATGATTTCCTGAAGAGTCTGAGGCAATAACATCCCCCTATGCTTTTCTCACAGCTTTTTCTGCAGAAATGACAACAGGCTCTTGCTCTTTGGTAGAAGAGCTAAGCTTCCCTAATGATCTGGTTTTGGCTGGGAAGAAGTTAATTTTCTTCCCAGTAGCTGACATAGTGCTGTGTTTTGGATTTAGGATGAGAATAATGTTGATAACACACTGATGTTTTGGTTGCTGCTGAGCAGTGCACACGCTAAGTTAGGGACTTACCAGTTTCTCGCACCAACCCACCAGTGAGTGGACTGGGAGTGCTCAAGAAGTTGGGAGGGGACACAGCCAGTACAGCTGACCCCAACTGACCAAAGAGACATTTTCCATACCATATGGCATCATGTTCAGCATATAGAGCTGGGGGAAAGCTGACTGGGGTGCGCTGCTTGGGAACAGGCTGAGCATCGGGCAGCAGGTGGTGAGCAACTGCATTGTGCATTGCTTGTTTTGTGTATTTCAATCAGCAGTGGTGATAGTAGTAGTAGTAGTAGTAGTAGTAGTAGTAGTAGTAGTACTTTCCCTTCCATTTCTCTCATATTAGACTGTCTTTATCTCAACACAATAACTTTACTTTTTTCCTCCAATCCTGCTGGGGAAGGGAGGTAGGGGAGGATGGGAAGTGTGAGCCAGCGGCTGTGTGGCGTTTAGCTACCTGCCAGGTTAAACCACAACACCTAAGCAGCACACCTGTGCTCAGCGCACTTTGCTCCTTTTGTTTGTAAGTTTGTTTTGGCACTCCTCACTCCCACCATCTCCAGAGGGCTGCACACAGGACTGTGTGTAACACAGCTCCAGGGATGACATTTCCAGCCCGCAAATGGGCTGCGGCAGCCATGACTTGCCAGTTTCATTCAAGTTTGGATTTCAAGATGATTTTCACAACTCCAAAGACTAGACTCTGAGCTCATTACCCTATTCCTGGAGCCAGGGCTGTAAGTTCAGGCCTAGAGTGCTTACACCACAATTTGTTCTTTTGTATAAGGGCAGGGGAGAGGAAATGGAACTGATTTCATCAGCTTACTCTAACAGTGTATCTCAGCTGATTCAGAGACGCCAGAAGGTTTAGACATGATTGAAGAAAGCTGATGCTTAAACTCTCTTAACCTGTGACGTGATACTAGTGCCCACTTCTGATCTTTAAGATATGATAAGCCTGAAAGAAATAGTCCAGATCCTCTCAGGTAAATGATTCATTTCTTTATGTAAGAGGCAAAAAAAGGAATCATTGCTATTGAGGGGTATGAGGCCTGTGCATTAGTAAGACATAAACCATAATAATAATAATTAGCTTTCATTTCTATGCCTTTATTTCCTAAACCCCCTGTTGTAATTTTACAGATGGGGAAACACAGTAGGCAGAGGTAAATGAAGATGCACAAAGGCAAAGGCCAGGACAGAGATGAAGCAAAAAGCGAACCTGGACAGTCAGTTGCCTTGGCAGCTGGGATTTCCCATTCCTCTCCTCAAACCCCCCATCCGACCACAGCTGAGGAAGTGCTTCCCCTTGGTTCTTGGAAATGGGCAGTTCAGATAGCACAGTAGTGAGAAGGCAAAGAGATAAAGAAGGAAATAGTACAAAAGAGAGCAAATGCAGTCCAAGAAGAGGTGAGAGAGACAGTAAATGAAACGCAACGCTCGGTGACATAGGTAAATAGTTTGGAGATCATCAGGAGCAAAACAAACAGGGTAACCGGAAAGACGATGTAATAAAAAGCAGATGAAAATAAAAAGGTACTGCTCACAGAAAGATATTAGAAAAAGTAAATAAATAACAAGTTGATGTTTTTGAGGAGCTATCCTTTGTCAACATAAACAGAAGGACTGCCAAAAAGGCAGTACCTGCAGAACAAGCCTAAATTATTATCTGATACAAATTGTTATTTTCTTTACAGTTGTGTTTGTGTAGTACTCCATGTGGTAAGTAAGAGACTCCTTAGGAATAAAGATTCACAATCCAGTCAAGAATTAAATTTAGAAATGAAGGGTTCAAAAGGAAGCCATAAAAATAACTTACAAAATAATAATGATGGTTGCTCTTATTTTATTAATTGCCATTATTTTATGACTTACAAGATGGAGGGGGAAATATTAGCTTTTTATTAAAAATATTAACTAATTATTAACTTATATAATTTTATGATATTTATAAAATATTATAAACCAGCCCCATGGCCTTGATTCTTTATTAAAATCCATCTCTCTGTAATGAATGTTACAGTCTTTGAGATATTTGCCTAGGGTAAGATGAGCTTGAGCTTTTTTTATTTTCTTCCCCTCTCTCTCATTTTTCTTCAAGTGAGCACAATCAAGTAAGATTGTCCCTTTGAAAGTATCAAGGCCAATGCAAAATGCAGTTCTTTTGTATCCATTATAAATCCAGTTTAAAGCTGCTTCATTATTACATAATTAATGTACTTAATTTAAGATCCCTCTGAATGCTCCTTCATCTCCTTATTTAATAATCTGCTATGCTCGCATGTCTGAACCTTGTCTGGTCCTGGCTTCTCCCATTCCTAATCAGCTCTTACGTGGGCAGCAGGAATTATGCTCTCAACAGCCTCTGCTTAATATGATCACAGTTCAGTCTGGGGGTTTGTCTAAAAGGCAGTAGTTCCATTTGTTAGTATGTGACCTCCTTTACGTTTAATTTTGGATCTCCACGAGCAAGAAAGAATCGTCTATTGTCTTATAAGCCAGGCAACGTGAACAGGCTGAGTCAGTCCAGGAATATTCAAGCCTCCCCATCTGTGGTATTGCAGAATTCCAGGGCAATTCCACCAGTTGGTGGAGCTTCTGTCTGGGAAAACAGAGCTATTGTGAACAAAGCATACTGTGCATATTTCTAACATTCATAAAAGACTGGGTTTGAATCATTTGAATCTTTCTGAAAATTTCTTCCTTTGGGGCAAAAATTTCCAATGCATGGCCTCAATCCAGTTACAGTCATTTGGAAAATCTGAGCATAAACCACACAACCATTTCTTCAACTAGCTGTGAAAAGAAAAGATAAACTTTTTGACTGTAAAAGTGTGACAGCAGGCTACATTAGATTGAGACTTAATTTAGTCAAGACTACAACTCAGTTTTGGCAAGGAGTAGGCTAAGATATGCCTTCTCCTCTTCCCCATCATGACCTCTATATGACAAGGACACCTTTCAAGCAAAGGAGGTGTAATGAGTTCGTCCTTCAGTTTGGAAACACAGCAGTGATAAACTGGGAGTCCTGACAACCTATTGTAGCACACTACCTTGCATCTAGAAACTTGCTGGCCTAACCATGTAAGGCAGCTGAGGCAGAGCTGCTGTTTTGGGCTATCAAACTCAGCTAAGAGTCATTTTGACCAGGATCACATTCTGTTTTCAACACTTTAATCGCATTGATCAGCGCCAGGAACTGTCGCATTTATTTTCTGAATTTTCCTCTGAAGGGCAAGATTCTGACTCAGACCTAAATCCAATGATGTTTTAGGATGACCAGATTAAAAACTGGTGTCCCGTTCAGTTTTTATAACTGTCCCATCCCCACAAGTTCAGAAATCCAAATTAATCATCTAAGTCTTTGCATGCTTGCAGGGTGAAAAAAGGGTATGAAACAGACTAACTGCAACAAGTTGATAGGGCCATATCCCAAATCCCACACCTCTGGAGCAAGGATACGTAGCTTAGGACTGCAGGAAGTCTCAGGGTATTAGAACCCTACATTGAAGATGCTCACCTGTGAGCTTTTTCAAAGACAGAGCTGGAAGGAGATGGATACTATCTTCTGTTGACTCTGTAGCTTTTTCAGTTACAGCACTTCCTTGAAAACAGAAGAACTATGATTCAGCTCCTTTTTCCCCCTTAGGAGACTCATATCCACACTGACCTTTATGTGAGAGAATGGCCTCATCACCAGGTTTTGGTTGCCTAGGAAGGTATGGAGGGGAAAAGGAGCTTTTACATAGAAATCGTACTCAGTCAGGCAAGAAAGTTCACTTAAGGCCATGATAGTATTTTTATGCTATAGGTGTGTAATATGAAATAGCACAAGCCATACTTGGAGCAGGAATGGATAGGCAGATCTCTTCCATCCCAGCAGATAGCCTGAAGCACTAGACTACAGTGCTTGCACACAAACCTGAAAGTGGCTTCACCACTTCAAATAGGTAGGTGAGATACCACCCAGAATGATGCAGGGATTGCAGCAATCTCCTGGGAGGTGGGGAATGTAGGTTGAGTTCCCCTATCCCTACCCTCGCCCCCTTGCCCCAGACAAACTATGTGAATGGATGTTCTATTTTCTGTCCGAGTGCTGAAACTATTGAGCTATTGTGTAATATGGATGCACCAACTGACTCCTCTTTTGGGGTTTTCCTAGAAGATGGCATTTAGGCAGAGGAACAGTTGGTTTGTACATCCTGGAGGAAGATAGGAAATTTTATAAAGAAAACCCTGGGGGATACTCTTTGCATAGCGAGTTAGACTAGGTGCCATTTCTTTGGCACTACTGAATCTATCATAGAATGGTTTGGCTTGGAAGGGACCCTGAAGGTCACCTAGTTCCAACCCCTGTGTCATGGGCAGGAAACCTTCCACTAGACCAGGTTGCTCAAAGCCCCATCCAGCCTAGTCTCAAATATCTTCAGGGATAGAAAGTTGACAACTTCTCTGGGCAACCTATTCCAGTGCCTCAGCATCCTCACAGTAAAAAGTTTCTTCTAATCTGAACCTGCCCTCCTGCAGCTTAGGGCCATTCCCCCTTGTCCTTTCACTGTCCAATTTAGGTGCCTCCAGATAGATGGCAGCTGATCAGGATTTCTGGATTGTGTTTTTTGACTTGGGTATCCTGTGGTAAAAGCCTAAAAACAGTGACATTTTCATTGTCTTGGCCCCAGAAATTTGCAGTCTAAAGGTTGGCCTGGACTGTGCAAGTTCTGGTCTTGGAGAAGCCGACTGCAAATTCTGATAAGAAGTTGGCATCAAGTTAGTTGTCCATAAATGCAAATTAATGGGTGAGCACAGGGACTCTTCAGCCTCTCCACACTGTCTGCTCCCAGTGCCCCTGTGTAACCTTCAGTCTCCCCAGCTCTGGCAGCACCCAGCAAATGTCCCTTGACAATCTTCCCCACTCCCTGAAGCTTTATTTCTCCCAAGGCTTCCTTCACATCGCAGCAGGCTTCCTCCCCTTGTTGCAGTGCTTGGTTTTATTATCCTGAGTTATCCAGTAAGCCCCGGGAGCGACATCCTCTGGCCCTCACTCCTGCACCACCGCCTCCAGCGAATCAAGCTGTGTACACAGCAGTTAGACAATTTGCCTTGTGTTGTTCCTGGCCCCTTATCTCTCCCTCTGCCCCGGTGTTTATGCTTAATAATTGGGAGTTCCTTGCATGAAGAACTTCCTTTTCGCGGCTTGGGAAGCACACGGCATATAGTGAGTGACCTCTCACGTCACAAATAACTGCAGGACAGCAGACCGTGCTTTCCCCAGAGGGAACTGCTGCCTTAGGTCGTGCGCTGAGCGAGCGCCCAGCTCCTTGCGAAACACTCGCATCGCCCCGAAGCGCGTAGCGCTCTCAACGCCACTTTTTAATCATTTTCTCCAATCATTTTCTCCAAATATCCCGTTTCCTGTGTAGCAGTTCTTTAAATAGCGCCTCGAAGATTATTTTAAAGGCTTTCAAAACACTCTTGCCACCGCTTTTGGGTTTGGAGTGGGTTTTGTTGGCTGGGTTTTTTTTTTTTTTAGTCTTCTCGCATGACGATATTTTCACGTCGTGGGAGACAGGAACAGCTCGAGGAAGCTGCGAAGTTGAACTGAGTACTCGGGGGAGGAAAAGCAGGAGGGGGAGGGCAATACTGTTTCTAGGACCGTCCACCTGGCACCGACTTTTTGTTCTCACACGCGCTCTCAGTGCGGAGCTGCGAGTTTCGGGATGACACTGGGGCTTTAATCCCAGTGGGGGTAGCCCCCCTGGAGGGGGGTGAGTGGCCCCGGAGGGCAGAGGCGCTCCGCGGAGTCCCTTTCCCAGCACAGAGGCCGAGATGCAAAGGAGAAATGACAGCATGGAAAGCGGAGTATTTTTATCGGGGCCGGTGCCCGGGGTGAGCGGTGGGCGGAAAGTGCCACCCTCTCTCTCTCTCCCCTCCCTTGCCCTCAGCCGCCCACGCCGGCAGCGGCATCAAAGGGAATCTCCCTTGTCGCGGCATGTCAGCATCGAGGATGAGCGCACCGGCCCGTCATGGCATTTTCGCTTCTCCCGGCGCTTACTCAACAAGCGGGAGGGGAGGGAGGGCTGGTTTGGAGGGGGGGCGGGGGGAGGACTCCCAACCAGCGCCGTTCCTGCCATGAGGTCACCGCGGCGCTATGCGCCGTGCCCGCCGCCGCCCCTGCTCCGCTCCGTTGCGTCAGGCAGGGGGTATCCCCGCCGCGGCCGGCCGAGCGGGGCATCCCCGCTGCGGAAACACCCCGCGCGTCCCTCACCGCCGGGGCGGGGGGGTCATCCTGCCTCCAGCTCCTTCGCCACCCTCCATCCCTCACCCCCCACCACCCCCCGCTCCTCCACCGCAGCGGGCGCTTGGCCGCGGTTCGGGAATGTCAACAGTAGTTCGCTGGGGGGGCGGGGGGCGGGCAGGGATGGGATGGGGATGGAAATGGAATGCGATGGGATAACAGCAGGCTGCACCGAGGTAATCGCCCCGAGCCGGCCATGCGGAGGGGAAGCCCAGCCACCAAACACGCCTTTTTTTGGGAGGCGGGGGGGGGGGGGGGGGGGGGGGGGGAGCAGTAGGAGAAGAGAGTTAGGTCAGACGGCCACCGCCAGCGTCCGACTGCAGCTTTTCCTCTCTAGAAGGGCTGCCGGGAGGGGGGGGGTGTTCGAGTGCGCATCGGGATCCCCCCCGTGCTCTGCCCCGCACTCCACCCCCTGCGCAGAGGAAGCCGGGCGGGGGCGTGGCCCCACGACAATGGGACTCGCCGGCGCTATAAATACCCGCCCGCATCTATATTTGGTTTGGCCGGATCACAACCCGGGAAGGACGGCGGGGGGGGAGTTTGGAGGGGGTGTGCCAAAAATAGCCCCGCGCGCCCGCCCGCCGCCGCCGCCGCCGCTCAATGGGACGCGGCCCCGCCCCCTCCTCCGCGCGCGATCCCGCGCGCCCCGCGCGGGGCCTGGCGGCGCTAAATTTAGCAGCGCCGCTTGCGTCAATGACGCGGCCGCCGTGCGTCAGCCCCGCCGCGCCCCGCCCCGCCGCGCGGGGCCCGCCGCGTCCTGTGCGTGGATTGGCCGCGGCGGCGGCACGAGGGCGGTGACGTGGGCGCGCGGGCCGGGCCCCACCGGGGGCCGCCGGCGGCCGCAGGGGGAGCGCGGCCGAGCGGGGAGCCCGGCGGGATCCCCCGCGGGGGGAGCGGGGCTGGCAGCGCCGCCGGCACCGCCGTCAGGCCGGGAGGGAGGGAGGGGGGACGCCCCGGCGCCCGCGGCGGGACGGCGCGCACTGCCTCGGGAAGGGGATCCCGGGCTTGGACGAGGCCGCGGCGTCCGCCGAGTGCTGTGCCAGCCCCGGCTTCGCCTCCCGGGCTCCGCGGCGGTGCCAGGCTGGTGCATCGGGAAGCAAAGCGAAAGTGCCGCCGCCGGTCGCTCCTCCTCGGGGCGGCGGGTGCGCCTCCAGCCCCCGGCCCCCGTCCGTCGAGACAGCTCGTCTGGCGGAGCCCCTCCGTGCGAGGCACGGCCGTGGCACCGACCGGCACGGCCGCGGTGACAGCTGCGGGCATCCCGGCTGCCGGCAGCGGATGTAAACACGACACCGGGCAAGGCGGCGGAGAGCCCATCCGCCCCAAGCCCCGTGTCCCGGACAGACACACGGACGCAGGCAGACACGTACAGACACAGACAGACACACGGGCACAGACTGACAGACACGGGCACACACGGGCGGGAGCCCGGACGCTCGCACGAGTGCCTGCTCTGTGAGCGGCACCTCCCCGCAACCTGCTCCTTGCTCCTGCGCACTGGAAAGTTTCGAAAGAAAAGAAAAAGAGGGGAGAAGAAAGGGAAAAAAATGGTAGAAGAGGGGAAAAAAATTAAAAAGAAATAAAAGAGAAAAAAAGGGGGAAAAAAGCAAAAAGATAAAAAGTGGAAAAAAGTGAAAGAAAACTTTAATAATTTATACTGAAGCTACAACTAAGTAACTAAGCAAAGCTCTCCTCATTTAAGCCACTTCAGTAAAGATATATTAACGTTGTTATTATCATAATAATAACAACAATAATTATTATTATTAATAATATTATCTGACTTGGGAGCGACTCGCCAGGCTGCGGCGGGCTACCGGCCCCGAGGCGGCCAGCAGAGCGGCCGGCCGGCCAACCCTGTCCCGCTGCCGGCAGCTGTGCCGGCGGCTCCGCACGGCTCCGCACCTCTCGGCGCGGCTGTGCAGGGCTCGGCGCGGCGCGGTGCGGCGGGAGCGCGGCGCACACACTGGGGCGGGGGGGGGGGGGGGGGGGGGGGGGGGGGGGGGGGGGGGGGTCAGTAGCGTCAGGCTCCCATGGCGTCACTATTGACGTTTCGCATTCCAGCCGCTCTATGGAGAGGCCGCTAGGGCTCCTCTCACATAAATGACGTTCAGAGAGAGGGAGCGGGAGAGCAGCGCAGAGAGGCGCCTCCGTCCCCTCTCTCCGGCGCAGGCACACGCGCACCCCGGGGCACTCGCACCGGGACACGGGCACAGGTCCCGGCCCGGCTCTCGCCGCACACACACACAAAGGCACATCGCGGCGGCAGCGGCGGCCGCTCGGCATCCCTCGCCCGCCCGCCTGTTCACTCCCTCC